CGGTGTTGGACAGACTGCAGCAGATATTGACTAATAACTTCGCGACGGATGGTGAGTCAGTTTTCTGCTCTTTTTTGTCGTTGATAATTTTATGAAGCGCCAATAGCTTAACAGAGTTAAATTCTCGACATTCGACTGACGTAAATAATATTCTAGTAAATATAGAGCTCTTTTAGAACAGTTCCAGTAATCTGCTAAGATTAACCAATTTTAGGAGTCTGTAATGACTAAACTTCTAAACTAATTTTAAAAAAATCTAGATATTTATAATGTCAAGAAATTAGTATTTTTTTATAATTCAGTGGAAATGTTGCAAAAACTTATTATGGGCGAAGTTGATACTATTAAACCTTTTTAAAATAAACAGAAAAAAAATGTTTTCTAGACTCGTGTTTCGATAACACTCAACTGCGCGAAACTGCTAACGAAATGGAGGGACTGCTCGGCACTCTCATACGCGGCGTCGAACAGAGAGCGACTCTCAACGCCACCAAGGGACTCGTATAATAATGTATAATACTCTCTTTTATGCGTCACCAGGGGAGGGGACTATCCCTTCCCTGGGATGGAGGGATGGTCCCCTCCCCTGGTGAATGTAAAATATTTTTAAATGAAAATTTATGTATATCAACGAAAAATGTAAAAACTACTTCGAATACTATATTACCAGTTCCCTCCCCTAGACCTAGTCTAGATTGACTGGCGACGTCTAATTCTATTACCAAACTTTGTTCGTAATTAAACTTTGTATTAAAATATTCATATATATTGCCAGCTCTAAACTTTACTCATATCGCTGCCCAGAACATAGAGGTAGAGGGAATGACGCTGGGCAGAGCGGATTACCTTGAGCTGCTAAGATATTTGAAATGTGTAACGAATCGATAACTCAGTTTTAACATTAATTTTGACAGAATATATATGGACATTGACTTTTTCTCAAATAATAAGTTATTTAATGGAATGGATGAATTCTGTAGTGACTTTTGTTAAAAAAATGTTTTTTTTTTTTTGGAACAGTGGATATTACTTGTAATACTTTCAACTTCATAGTTTGTAAGAAAATAAAATGTGTTAATAAAAAAACATGTAATGTATATTTTTAAAATACAGTAAAATCTCATTTAAGATCTCTTTATGAAACAAAAAAACATTTTTGTTTTAATTGACCTTTTAACCTTGCTCAATGAAGTCTCAAATTATTTTTTTTAACTATAGATAATAATTATTAGTATATTTACTAATAGTTTAGGTTTTAACAAATTTAATGTATTTTGAACTTAACAATATGGTTGTGTTGATATTTTAAGTAATTATTATGTACTTAAAATCTTTTAATAATGACTTAAAATGAAAAATATTTGATAGTTATACTATTTTTGTATTTCTTTTACGAAACATTTTTTAATTTCTTTTTTTAACCGGTTTTAGCATTTTTCTTTAATTATTTTATCTAATTTCTACTAAATTCTAATATTCTTCCTTAAAAATTCCTTGTTGCATTTTATGTTTTTAAAATGTTTTTTTTTTATACTTTTTTCACTTTCTTTACTTTTAATATATACTTTGCGTAAATGAATTATTTATTATATTGAAAATTACTAAAAAATCGAAATCCAGGTTGTTTTATAGTTTTAATTAAATTTCCCGCCATAGTTTATAGGAAATAAATATTTTTGTATTAACATGTTTAGTGAAATTTTATTCGAAATATTGAAATTTACGTTTTTTTTACTTTATTTTAGTTTTAATGAATGTACTCATATTAGTAATCTCATTTTGATGTAACTTTAGTAAGACAATTTCAATAATATGGGTTTTTTTTAATAATTTGACTTTTATACTTTTTAAGACTTGAAGTCCATAAATTGCTATATAGTTTAATCTAGATATTTCTTGATGATTTCTTAAGCCCGCTACAGACTGTTCTGACAGTTATAATTGAACAATAGAACTGTTCAGTTACACCTGATCATGTGTAGGCATCATTTTAATCGTCAGTTGAACTGTACAGTTAAAGTTTTGCTTACACGCACACAGTCGAAACTGTTCAGTCGAAATTGTTAGAACTAAATAGCTTTAGAAATATAATTTGATAGTATAGCTATGTATTTTTAAGCGATTGAATTTGTTTCCTACTAGATTTCCAATTGGTTGTTTTAATTTTTAAATCTATACTAATATAAAGAGGAAAGATTTGTATTTTTGTATGTATTGAAGTAACTCAAAAACTAGATGCTTTTAAAAATTTTCACCATCAGAAAGGTAATCTATCTGTGAGTAACATACTCTATATTTTATTATTACTAATGTTTAGGAACTATTAATAAACAGCTTGTCGTAATAAAGTAATTAAAATCCAAAACATTATTACAGTATGTGCTGTAGCGTTGAGAGGTTACGAATTGCGAGTTGGTCAGATATGACGGCTGATAGAGATGTATGGAAGAGCGCATACTGTGCCGACCCTCCATAAGGGATAAGGGCAAGTGGATGATGAATAGAAAGTATTTACTAAGCCTAGGTTCAAATTGAACAGTGTGCCATTAGTATAAGGAAATTGAAGCCGTCCGAATAATCAGTTTTTTTTTAATGTTAATAAATTAAACAACTAACAGAAAAGTAACATGTTATATTTTATAAAAACTTTACATATTGCGTTCTGTATAATTAAATTAAAAATGATTATTAAATATATTTCGCATTAAGTTTTTTTTTATTTCTTTAATACTCTTATGTTATATTTTTAATAAATTACTATATTTCATATATTTAATGTAATATAGCAATTTCGTTTTATTGTGTAAGCGTATACGAAGGTGCCCTTATATACTAGCTTTCGCCCACGACTCCGTCCGCTTGGGATTAAGAAATCTAAAGTGAGTAGTCTATGTGTTCTTCCAGACGACCCTCTACATATGTACCAAATTTCATCGAAATCGGTTCAGCCATTTAGGCTACAAACTCTAACAAACATCCATCCATCTAAACTTTCGCATTTATAATATTAGTAAAATTTCATGTGATTAATATATGTTAGATATTTTATACAATATTAAATGTAAATAAAATCTTAGCAAATAAAGCAATTACATTGCTTCAGCACAACCACGAACTTAAAATATTAAAAAAAATACAACTCATAATAAATTTTATTCCTAAGAACTTTTCCTGTGCTAAATGTGTGTATAAAACTATTGAATATTGTCAATTATTTAAAATCTATTAAATTGTTGATAATTTGATCCTAACAGCAGTGTAATTTAGTATAAACTTTTACAGACATTAAATAATTTTATATTTTCTTAAAGCTGTTTTATTTTATGTATTGGCATCCTTCACGAATTTAAAACAAAAGCGTTCCGTTTCATGCGAAATTTTCTCCTTAATTTTAACTATAACTTAATGCCACACACAATGTAATGGTTATTAAGTTACTAAAATAATTCTCTTAGTAAAATTGAGATTTTTCATACTTAATCTACACTTAGTAATGTGCATTAATATCTCCGAGTGTGGCAGCTAAGTTTATTTCAAGAGTTGTTACCCGTTGTCTTAGGTGCACGTAATGCGACCAGAGATTTTCAGTTGTTTTAACATTTTTGACGTAATAAGTCCTGCGTTAAATCTAGGATAATCAGTTAGTGACGTCAGTTTCTTTTGCTACTGTTTATGAGGTATTTGCAGCAATGCGTGAGTAGATGTTTCTCCTTCTCCGTGGACCCGTTCTGTTGCAAGCCAGAGGAGCCGCGTTCTCGCGTGTAAATGTCCAAACCGTATTGACCTGTGAAAATTTAGATAAAATTAACTTTTATTAGCTGTGGGAAGGATTTAAAGCAACAATTTTTTCATTTTTCACGATTGTTTCATCTTAAATGAGGTTAATGAGATCCAAATCCAACTCATCTCATCCGTAACTCTGTGTTTGTGCACACTAGCGCCACCTACATTATTGTACATGTATTCAACGTACCTTCTTCAGGGAATGTTATGTAGAAAGTAACGACGTCGTCGGAGACCGCTTGCTGCACGAACTTGCCGAGCCGCTTCTCGTCTACGCCGTTCTTGTGCAGCGTCGCCATGAAGTCTGCGAGCGGCCGCGACATGCGGAACTGCAGCTCTAGTTCCCGGCCCGCGAACACTAGCGCCTCCTATGTTAGTTAAATTGTTTGTTTATTTATGACAGACATATCAATACATTTTACATAATTTTAAAATAATCTTTTGAATTGGTTTTTGTAAACTATTATGTCCAACAAAATTACCCCATAACCTAACCTAATGTAGAACATAACCTTACCTGATGTGTGATCGGAACCAAACCGAAGAGTCTGGTAGCTTTGGTGGGTCCCCATTCTCCGCTAGCACAGTCTGGTAATGGAACCATTACTGTTTGCAGTTCCGCACAGCAGATCTAAAAGCAATAACAAGCAATATAAATTTTCGGTGTTTTAAGTGTCGTACAACAGAGGGCGCTGTAAATAGGTTTTTAAAACATCAACCGTGTTACTTGTATGTAAAGAGTATTCAATGAACCGTGCACATCTTGTGACTCACCTTG